GGATTTTTTAAATCAAATTTATTTTAATAATAAAATGCTTTTGGAATAAATCTATAGCTTTCTATTTAAAATACATTAATAATTTAGTGTATTCATCATGAAATGGAGCTTAGTTATATAGCACAAGGCTGTATATTCTGCAATATTGGGAATGTTGGTGAGTCAACAGCGGATCAGAGATGTCAGTTGCTCTTTAAAAATTATGATTTAAAATGAGTTGATTTAAATCAAGCCCTTTTACTAGTGATTTTAATCAAGATTTGAATCAAATCCACCCCTGGTAGCTGCCAGCGGGTAGCATGAACACCTTGCGCGATGGATTCAAAGATCCGTTTCAGATCAGAATAATTTTTTCAGCCTTGAATTCTGTGGGGATCTACCTCTCTCCAGAACTTCCTCCAGGGTGGTTGCGAAGTTGCCAGGAGCCGCACAGGGAATCTCGCCTCTGCGTAACGCCAGGCACTTTCTTCCACCAGGCACTGCAACATGGTGTTAGAGAACGTCAAGGAGATGTGGACCGAGGTGCCCAAGAGTGGGAAAGGCAAGAAGAAGTCCAAGCCGGTCAACAAAGACCGTTACATCTCGAAGATGTTCCTGCGAGGAGACTCAGTCATTGTCGTGCTGAGGAATCCCCTCATTGCTGGCAAGTAAACAGGCTGAGGTGGCTCACAAGCCTGGCAGTGCCAAGATGCCACGTTTAGGATCCTTCTCAAAAGACTGGAATCTTCTTGCCTTTAGTTTTAAGGCGGGGATATCTTATAGTCAACCGTCCTTCCGATGTTTCTTGTGTCACAAGTGTGCAGTTCCGTGACGTGTTGATGCATGAAATTTCTCCCGTCAATTCAGTACCATGTGGGATTTTGATTTCCCCCCGCTTTCTTTTTATATAATAAACATTTTGTTGAATTTGTTGGATTGCTTTTTTTGGGGGGGGGGTAGGGGGGGCTGTTGCTGCAGGCATTTCTGCCTAGTATTTCGTGATGTTGGAGAGAGTTATATTTATGAATAACTTGAGTTTCTCCCGTCTGGTGCTGTATGATGGTTAGATGTTAGATAAAACTTGTTTGCACTTGGAGACAGTACAATTTTATCGTATTTCTGACAGGGCAAGTAATTTGACCTTCTTTCCTCTTTGTCTTCACCACCTGGTTATGCAGCATACCTTAAAAGATTCTTGGATCAAATCAAACGAAGAGTAGTTTTTGCAATCAGATGCCTCTTGCTTTCTGTTTTCTGCCCAGCGGTTTGAGACTGACTACGCAAGCCTACATGTGTTTTCATTCAAAGAAAATAAGTATTTTTAATCCTGTGAATGCTCTCTTCTTGCCTTACTGAATGCCTATTTTAAATACCAATGATAAGGAAAGCAGGATCTGTTTTCTAATTCCAGCGTTTTCCATTAAATACCATCACCTCCCTAGCACCAACAGGAAAAAAAAACCCCATCCTAATCCCAGATCTCTAGCTGTAAGGGCTGAAAATGGTGAGGCAAGAAATAGTCTAAAACAGAATAATTAGGTAAATACCAAGCATGTTTCTCTAATTCTCAAGGGGGGAAAACAGTAAAAATTGATTCACTAAAAAGGCAAAAGATTTAAACCCTCATCTCGCACACAAATACATATAGTTTGATTTCTACTATCTGTAATAGATTTAATATAGGACTTCTTGGTTGCGATAAAGCAACTGATCTGAGTTTTTGATTCGGTAAGCAAGTACGTGATTTATGGCCTTGAGTGTCTGGAGAACAGATTGATTATGTCTGGTATGAAGTCTGATATCCCAGTATCATAAATTTATCACAAATAACTTGTTAATTTACCCCTAACATAGTTTCAGAAGTGAATTGGAGTTGGGTGGCAATAAAAAAATAAAACAAACGTAAATTTAAAATCATAAAATATTTTAAGATTTGACGTGTTGTAGAATTCACTATTTGTAGTCAAATTTACCATTTTTCTTCAGTATGAATTTGTGTGTAAACCTGATTTCTACTATAATCCTGCAATTCCCTGGGTTTTTTCCCTACATTCTTTTCCATGGTGTGTTGTCTGTTCTGCCATAAGTGCCTTCTCCACCCAACATGAGAGGGTTAACACGAGCTAACCTCTAGGCCCAGGGGTCATTTTCTTATTCCACCCAAGGTCGGTGCAATTTTCATTCCCCCGCAGCCTCTGAAAATGTCTTCATATTGCTTCCATATCGGATCTTTTTTACCCCTTCATGCATCCTTCAGTGATGTCTTTTGGAACTTCAACCATTACATAAAGACACATTTATTTTAAAAATATCAATTATCTCCCGGGGAACATTCAGCTGAATACATCGAGTAAAATCCTACAGTCCTATGGGGAGTAATTCTGTAGAGGGACAGGTGGCTTTTTCGGAAGGGTCTTGGCAGGACTATGGTTGAGGTGCCCTACAGTCTTTTCATCACATGTGGGAGAATGAAGATAGAAGTATGGAGAAGTACTTCCACCCTGCATTTCCGGAAGTGATACAAATTGTCTTTACACAATGAGATCAGTAGCAGGGTTTGCCATTTACTCAGTGGTATCCAACCTTGGCCACTTTTAAGACTTGTGGACTTCAGCTCCCAGGATTCCTCAGCCAGCCTTAAGGAATTCTGGGAGTTGAAGCCCACCAGTCTTAAAAGTGGCCAAGGTTGGACACCCCTGTCTTAGAACATGTCCTTACTCAGCACCTACTCAGTAAATGCAACTCATCAACAGCTATGCGATCCAGAAAGCAAATGTTTAGTTTTTCAAGAAGTCTATACTCAGTTCTAAGGAAAGTGAATCCAGTCCAGTGTTCTTGGTGCAATTTTGAAAAATAATCAGGCAGCGATCTGTAAGTTGGTCATTGGCTGATGCTCAGGGTTTTCCTTCCTGGCTAAGACAGCACAAAAAAGATAATATATTTCCAGGTCTTCCTGCTCCCTCTTGTGGAGAGAAGATTAATGGCTCTGATGTTTTCTTTCCGATTTGAAGAACTGTGTGACTTTACTCCCAAACGCTGGGTTTCTAAATTCACTTGCCTGGCAGGAAAGTGTTATGAAGCGGTGGCACCCCTAAACTGTGGGTGGGCATGGTCCCAGATGTGGAGAGCGGGCCGGAGCCGCAGATGCAGAGGAGGGTGCTTTCGAATGCGTCTCGGAAGGATCGCATGCGGAAGACGTAAACCACCGGGTTGATGGCAGAGTTGGCGTGGGAGAGGATTATGGTGGCCAGGATCAGCTGGGTGGGGATGCAGCATTTGGGGCAGAGGAGCATGATGGTGTTGAGCACGTGAAGCGGCAGCCAGCACAGGATGAAGAAGAAGAGGATGATGAAGAGCGAGGTGGCCGTCCGCATCTGCTTGCGGATGATGATCCGGTGTCTCCTCTGAGCGCTGATGTTGACCTCCCCTTCGGCCACTTTGCGGATCTGGCGCCTGACCTCCAGGAAGATGCGCCCGTACAGTATCAACATGACCAGCAAGGGGACCAACATGCACATCATGAAGTTGAAGTAGACCATGTAGGTGTTGGTGATGATGCTGTTGAAAAGGCACTCCCTGCTGGGAGGCAGCGGGTGGTGCCAGCCCATCAGAGGCACCAGGCCGGTCAAGATAGACAGCAGCCAACAGGCCGCAATCACCAGCAGGGAGTTGCGAGGGCTCAGCAGAGACTGGTACTGGAACGGCTTCAGGATGGAGACGTACCTCTCCACAGCGATGGCCAGCAGCCCAAAGATGGAGGCCTGGGTAAACACCAGGAGCAAACAAAGCATCAGGAGGCACAGCTGGGGCCTGGCCTGCGGGTACCCCACCTCAGTGAACTGGGCGCAGGGGATGACCACCGCCCCGACCAAGAAGTCCGCCACAGCCAGCGAGATCAGGAAGTAGTTGGTGACGTTGGAACGCAACTTCCTGTTCCACAAGATGACCGTACAGATGAACAAGTTGCCAGCGATGGACAGCAGAGCAGTCAGGCTGTCGCTCAGCAAATAGGGGATGTCCACAGCAGACGGGGACGTCGTGTTAGCTTCGAGGGGGCACCGAGGCAGCTGAAGGGAGGATGAGTTCTCCACGCTATCCATTATAGGAGCGGGGCCATTTGGATTCGGTCTTAAGGAGAGTCTTCCCTTCCGGTTTCTGAAGCTCTGACGGTCGTTGTCCCATCGACTTCCACGTTTGAGGAAAGGGAGGCTCGGTGAAATGGGGTCGGGGAGGAAGAGAATACGCCACTGAGAATTCCGTCGGGTTCCGCCGTCATGCTGGCTTGCGTTAGCCAAGTCTGTGAATCAAAAACATTTAAATCGTCCACTTGTACAGGAAGGAAACAAAGGGGCTGTATTTTGGGGTCCTTGGTGCTCTCTGAGCTTGGCGGCTTCCTTGCAGACATTTCAGGGCCCCACTAGCTAACACCATCAGTGCTAGAAGAGAGTGGGGTTCATGGAAAGGAGGAAGAGGGGGAGGAGGACTGGGGGTTCTTGGTGCTCTCTGAGCTTATTTTCTTGCAGACGTTTCATTACCAAACTAGATAACACCATCACTGCTAGAAGGGAGTGTGGTTTGAGGAAAGATGGTGGAGGAGGAGGACTATGTGGTCCTTGGTACTTTTCCTTTTCTGAGCTGGGTTATTTTCTTGCAGACATCTCATTACCAAACCAGTTAACATCATCAGTACTACTAGCCCACAGTCCAACCCTGAGCTGCAAATATTCTCTTCTATCAGAAAGTGACAGCGATGTTTTAGTCTTATAAAAGCAAGAGCTGAGAATAGCACCCTCGACTTTGGAAAGTAAATACTCCTTGCCAAGAAGCAAAAAGGGAGATGTTTTCTTTGGAAGACCCTAATCAAAGCTGGCTGACTTACCTACAGATCCCTGCTGTCATTCCCCCGACGCAAAGGGATGCCATCGGAAGCGAGAAAAGACGCCTGCAGCCTTCTAAAATCACTTCTGGAGCAATCCGGTCCAACCCCGGCTCATTTCTTCCTCTGCTGCCTCTGCCTTCTGATGTTTATGAAAATGAGATCTGATAAGTCGCAGTCGGCATACAAAAGCTGCTGCATTTCGTACAGAAAGGGATAGAGCAGGGCCAGGCAGCCGAAAGAAGGTCTGCCTTGCTGCAACTAGAAAAGAGAATGGAAAAGAAGAAGAAGAAGCGGAACCACTGCCAGATGCATTTTAGATTCTCTGGGATGAGATGTGTAGTAAAGTTGCTATCACGTTCCAGCCCTGAATGGGCTGTGTGTGTGACAGCAACAAAGCAGGAATCGCTTCTGCTATCTCATACAAACCCCTAATTTTCTCAACCTCTGGGCTGCTGTGAAGGAGCCACATGATTCACACAAACAGTCCCTACAAAGAGACTCAAGGTAAACATCATGTACTTTTGCTTTGTTTTGCTTGTGGTGTTTGCATTAAAGATATAGGAACAGAGTCACGGCGGGGGAAAAAGTCCACAAATTGCATTATATCCCAGAATTCTGAAGGAAATGTTTATTCTCTACTTTAGAAAAGTCAGCAAGTATCCCTTAAAAGTTTTTTAAAATTATTTTTACATCAAGGAAGCCTCTATACACACATATAATAAATATAATAAATATATATTTTTATCTGCCAAGAAACAAATCAAAGGCACCCTAAAAGCTATTATCGAATGGAAGTTCATTAAACCCGTTAAGCTGCTTAGATGCTGAAAGGAACCAAGCACAGCTGTGAATACAGCCTGGATAAATAAATATACAATCCCCAGCAGTAGAGTACAAGCATAATCTAGAAATATCAGCTTGGTTGAAAAGGTCACTCATTACGGGCTAGTTTTTCTATCTGAAAAACAGCTAGCTTTTTTATTTGTGGGCAAAATTTCAGATTGGTTTTTGTTTGTTATGCGTTCGACTGTTCTATGAAAACCACAATTGCCTTGGAGAGCTAAATCAATATTTGGGGGCAGAAAAAAGGGGATTTCAAAGGAAAGGATGAGAAGAAAGCAACCTCTTTTGGGGTGGGTCCTTGTTCTCAAGTGTGTTATTTTCCCTGCATTTTAGTTCAAAGATGATTAAATTTATTTGCCACTTATCTCATGGTTCAAAATAGGTATTAAAAATATCTGTTTTGGAAAACTTTAGGTTTTTTTTTTCCCCTGCAGTGTTATGATTGTTTCCTATCATTTCTTGGCTAGATCCTTTTACTGGCATTATCACACCAATTGTATGTAACTTCTGAGGGTTATTTTCGCTCTCTAAAGGGTAAATAAAAACAAATCGGGTATCTTTTTAAATAGTGGAGCCTAGTAGGCTAGAACTGCAAAGATCTTTTAGCATACGTTTTGGCAAATACATTAAATGTGGCTTTCATTGAACATATACATGGTTTGTGTGAGGCTGGGATGCATTTGTGTAAATATATCCCTACATTTATTTGTGCATAAATAAATCTAACGGGTGGGCACCATAGTTAATCCTTCTGAAATACAGTATTTAAATTAGTGCTTGAAATGGCATGGCTGGGGCATTCTGGGAGTCGAAGCCCACACATCTTCAAGTTGGTAAGTTTGAGGAACGCTGCTTTATTGATTAAAAACGACGGAGCAGCGAAGGTGGTCAGTCTCCAGCCATCCCTCAAGGAGAACGTCTATCTACGACTTCCCATCCCATAAAAAAAAAAACAAAACAAAAAACAGCCCGGCGCTTTTATCCCGCGCCTTTTATACTGGCGTCCTCTCCCGCATTTTGGCGGGAACGAGAGCGGCGGCAGCCGATTGGCCAGCCTCTCTTTCCCTTAAATTCCCATTCCCCACCCCTCGCCTCCGAACCAATCGGCTCCCTCCGCCTGT